TCTGTTTCCCCAAGTTAATTGTCGTTTGATTTGCGGCATTGTGATATTTTCCCCCCACACCGGTAATAACCGTTATTTCTCCAGAAACTGTCTTAATTACCTAAGGTTGGTAAGTCTTAAATTAAAGGTGATTTTAGTTATTGATACCATCTTCACAAATTTATATATATTTGACATTTGCTCAGTGGAATTATAATTTGTGACTTACACAAGGATTTGTGTTACTGTCGTAAACTGAATTGTAATAATAAACAGTGTGTTAGTTAGTTACTGTTTTAAACCGGGACTGTGTATACAGAAAGATATAGTTCTGTCTTTACGGCTTCCCTGGTAAAAACAGGCAGTTATTGATCGTTGTTGAAATTGTACTTCAGTTATAAAGGATTCACTTATTTACTTCATTTATGTAATTGTTACTATAGTATGTGTCTGTGTTGTCCATCAAGATGATGATGATGACCACTCTGTTTCATCAAGTATGAGTACGAAGATGACTGATGAGGCCGATGCGGGCCCGAAAGGGGTCTTGGACAGTGAGGACAGGGAGTGAGTGTTGTGCCAGGGATTGTTTCTGTAGTATGCACCTGACAAGACACAGCGAATTATGCCAGGCAATAAATTGTGCAATCTGTTGTTTGTGTATTCTTTGTTCAAGTTTTAAACTTTGTTTGCCTGTCCTAGAGATAACTTTGCAGAATCAACTCCAGCATTTTGTGGCTGTTGTGGTTTTTCGAGTTAAATTCACCTTCAGTAGTTTGCCATTGCTTATTCAGCGGTCGACTCTCGATATCACTGACGGTCTGCTGCCAGATCGCCTGCAGCTAGGATCGAACTCGGCATCCTGGTATTACGAAGCGCGTTCGCAACGCGTAAGCCGCTAACACTGACAAGTTATAAACAAAGTTATGCAAACAATATATTAGTTATTACGTTTGGAAATTTAGTCCTAATAGAAGTTGTATATTTCTTAGTTACTGTTGAAGACTTAGTTGTAACTTGTGGACCAAAGAACAGTCTTGTTGCCTAGAGAACTGTCTTGTTGCCTATAGAACTGTCTTATTGTCTGTAGAACAGAATTGTGGGACAGAGAACAGTCTTGTTGCCTATAGAACTGTCTTATTGTCTGTAGAACAGAATTGTGGGACAGAGAACAGTCTTGTTGCCTATAGAACTATCTTGTGAAACATAGAACTGTCTTGTTGCCTATAGAACTGTCTTGTTGCCTATAGAACTGTCTTGTGGGACATAGAACTGTCTTGTTGCCTATAGAACTATCTTGTGAAACATAGAACTGTCTTGTTGCCTAGAGAACTGTCTTGTTGCCTATAGAACTATCTTGTGGAACATAGAACTGTCTTGTTGCCTATAGAACTGTCTTGTTGCCTATAGAACTGTCTTGTTGCCTATAGAACTGTCTTGTGGGACATAGAACTGTCTTGTTGCCTATAGAACTGTCTTGTGGGACATAGAACAATCATGTTGCCTAAAGAACTGTCTTATGGGATATAGAACTGTCTTGTTGCCTATAGAACTGTCTTGTGGGACATAGAACTGTCTTTTTGCCTATAGAACTGTCTTGTGGGACATACAACTGTCTTGTGGCCTATAGAACTGTCTTGTGTGACAGAGAACTGTCTTGTTGCCTATAGAACTGTCTTGTGTGACAGAGAACGTTGTTTTTGCCTATAAATTGTCTTGTGAGACATAGAACTGTCTTGTTGCCCATAGAATTATCTTGTGGGCTAGAGAACAGTCTTGTTGCCTATAGAACTGTCTTGTGGGCTATAGAACAGTTTTGTTGCAGATAAAACTGTCTTGTTGCCTATAGAACTGTCTTGTGGGCTAGAGAACAGTCTTGTTGCCTATAGAACTGTCTTGTGGGCTATAGAACAGTTTTGTTGCCTATAGAACTGTCTTGTTGCCTATAGAACTGACTTGTGGGCTAGAGAACTGTCTTATTGCCTATAGAACTGTCTTGTTGCCTATAGAACTGTCTTGTTGCCCATAGAACTGTCTTGTTGCCCATAGAACTGTCTTGTTGCCTATAGAACTGTCTTGTTGCCTATAGAACTGACTTGTGGGCTAGAGAACCGTCTTGTTGCCTATAGAACTGACTTGTGGGCTAGAGAACAGTCTTGTTGCCTATAGAACTGTCCTGTTGCCTATTGAACTGTCCTGTTGCCTATAGAACTGTCCTGTTGCCTATAGAACTGTCCTGTTGCCTATAGAACTGTCGTGTTGCCTATAGAACTGTCTTATGGGCTAGAGAACAGTCTTGTTGCCTATAGAACTGACTTGTGGGCTAGAGAACAGTCTTGTTGCCTATAGAACTGCCTTGTGGGCTAGAGAACTGTCCTGTTGCCTATAGAACTGCCTTGTGGGCTAGAGAACTGTCCTGTTGCCTATAGAACTGTCTTGTGGGCTAGAGAACAGTTTTGTTGTATTTAGAACTGTCTTATGGACTATAAGTCTGTTTGATGGTTCAGAGAACTTTCTTTTGTTGCAGAAGATTGTCACATTTGCCGGTGAACGTTTGCCAAAGATTTTCGTTAAAAATATTGCATCTATAATAACACGTATTTGTTGTAAAAAGAGGTTTACAACTTGTATTTGCCCTGATCTTATATTTAATATGAGATTACGTTTTCATTTTAGAAGAATACTCCAACGGGAAACGCTTCCATCATCACTATCATCATTCACCCATAGTGGGTTTCATGCTAGAGTCATGGAAGACAAGGAGGGCCCGTCCATCAAAAACTCCACTACATTCAAGAAGAACTGCAATGGGAAAAGCAACAGTCACATATCATCGGTTTCCACAAACAACCAGGTGTCTTCTGATGCTACAGCAAATGAGCATGCAAGCGTAGACATCTCTAAAAACAACTGTAAGAACAATAACAACAACAACACTGGGAATAGCGACAGCAGTAAAACTAGCAACGGCGATGAGAATAGCAATCACAGTGGAATGAAAGATATCAATGGAAAAAGCAACACAGATGTGACTGCCTCACCTGCTGGGGGACCCTGTGACCACACTGGTGAGGATGGACAGTCGGAGCTGAAGACTAACGGTCAGACGTCCGAGAGTCCTGGACCTTCTTCTCCTCCTCCTAGTCCAGCTCTGGCGCCACTGCGCGTCACTTCCGCCAGTCACAGTCCTGACAAAGGCGGCCACTATCATCATCATGTCAGCAGCGGGGGCGGCGCTGAGTATTACCTGAGCGCCAACCCGGACAGCCTGGGACACAGCTACATTCCAGCCTCGACCAGCCACAGCTCCTCATCTCCTTCAGATGGCTGCTACCTGAGCTCCAGTGCTAGTCAGTCTGGAGGTTCTGGGGCTCAGTCTCCAGGGGAAAACCCCGGTGAAAGGAGGGGATCATCTCCAACGGGGAGCCAGCATGTGGTGCATGTGCATGTCAATCCTGGCGAGACCTTCTCAGTTCGTCTTGGCGACCAGATCCAGCACATACAGGGTGAGTGCCCCAACTCTTTTACTCTTCATTATCAGTATCATTATCCTTGATGAGTAGTTTCTACGTCTACCCTTATACACAAGTAACAGGATATCACATGCATTTCTTCTTCTTCTTCTTCTTCTTCTTCTTCTTCTTCTTCTTCTTCTTCATCATCTTCTTCTTCTTCTTCTTCTTCTTCTTCTTCTTCTTCTTCTTCTTCTTCTTCTTCTTCTTCTTCTTCTTCTTCTTCTTCTTCTTCTTCTTCTTCTTCTTCTTTTTCTTCTTCTTCTTCTTCTTCTTTTTCTTCTTCTTCTTCTTCTTCTTCTTCTTCTCCTCCTCCTCCTCTTCCTCCTTCTTCAGAAACTGAATGTTGCCTGCACATCCGTTTCACATGTCTGACTCATTTGCATGCAGACTGTTAGTTACTTGCCTTTCAGGCAGATGTTTTTAGGCAGGCAGTGGGTCTGTGCTTGTTTTGTCCACAGTGGGGACCCAAAACCCATACAGGAAACACTTGTATTTAATTATACATTTAAGTTGAAAATGGGAGGGGGGAGAGACGTAATTTTGACATTCAAAACCCTTGTAATTTAATGAGTGAAATTGTTCAGACTGCATACAATACCAAATGGTTCAACCAATCTGGTGACAGTTCTTTCGGCGTTCGAGTTACTTAGGTCATTTGACATTTTGAACTATGTGCGTGCTTTTCTCGCAGTTCTTGTTAACAAAGCTAGTACTTTGTCTTTTTGTTCTGTCGTGTTTTTTTTTTTTTTTTAAATAACAAGTTTTTTTTTTTATTACAGTTTTTTTTTTTTTAAATATTGGGGAGGGTGGGGGTCTTGCCATATACTCCCATGCCATGAAACCAGACTGTCCAGTGTTTTCTGTGTCGGTCTCCCTCGCCCCCTCCCCCTCCAACTTTGCTACTGTGACGATAAACACCAGTTTGCTCCTTCTCATCACATGACCAACGAATGTAGATTGTCTCTTTCTGATGTGGGCAGTCAGTTTTCTTCGTGAGACAGTCTTCATTCAGCAGACGTTGTTGCTGGACCTCCAGGACAAATCCGGGCATCACCAGTCGAAGAATACTGGACCGAAATAATATTCAGATTCCCTGGCAACCCGCCTGCTGCAGAAGAATCACTACATCTTTGAAATCGAAATTTCTCAGGGAATATAGATTCGTCTTCATCTTCATAATACAACGTCCGTGCTGGAGCTTATTCTTCCAGGCTGCCGTAAAAACATCCACGTAACATGTATCATTAATCTCTCACAGCGGAACGTTTTTTCCCTGCTCTCAGTTTCGTAATCGGGACTGTGGTAGTTTGGTATAGAGCTATGGCCCGCGGGTCGAAACTGGCCCGCCAAGCAGTTGTTACTGGCCAGCAAGGCTGGTGTGAAGTTTCTCTGTCTTCTGCCTCTTCTTCTTTCCTCTACTCGTGGAATGCCTGGTGGTGTCAGGGAAGGATGAGATCTCTGGAACTGGCCTTTCTGTTCGCTTCATATAAACTTTCTTCTCAGTGTCTGTGATATTTCTGCTGCCAGGCTTCTGTACAGAATGAAAAATCCATATGTTGAAGTTGTTATGGAGGAAGTAACCGGTCACCTTAGTAGAGCCTGCCTGCTAGGGAAGAGGCAATGGATGTCCTTATGGAGTCCATACGCCTTGCGCTGTCCCTCCCGCTGACCAGACGTCCACGTTGACGACTGCCTATCCCACAGCCATTCAGTCTATCAGCACGTAGATCCACTTTAGGTTTGGTTTTTTTTCTTTCTTCTCTAGATACGTTGTGCATGAAAGTGGTATCCGTGTCTGTGAACTTTGAGTGTGTTGGGCCCCGGAAAAGATTCTTCTCCTTCTTCTTCTCTATGTCCTCTTTTATCGCTTTGGGTGCCGGGGGACATATAAGGTCCTGCTTCGTGCTTTTCTGGCTGCTTGGACTATAGACAGATCATGGTGCTGTAGAGTGTCTCTAATGTTATCTTCCCATAATGTTCTTGGTATACCTCTTGCTCTACGTCCCTCTCCTCTTCTGATATATGCCTTGTATGGAATAGCATCAGAAGGCATTCTCTCCAAGTGGGCAAACCATTTGATTTGCTGTCTTTGTATGTAATTCAGTATTGGTTCTGTTCCGACTTTGATCTCGTATGACCTCATTCCTGGTTTGATCTCTTCTGGTCACTCCTACTGCCTTTCTCGGACACCTCATTTAGATGGTTACTAATTTTCTTTCATGTTTTGTTTTGAGTGACCACGTCTGGCACTGGTAGCATAGGGTAAACAATCATAATAAAAATAATAAAAATAATAACGGTATGAAAACTAATAATGAGGAGGATGACGATAGTTCTTTTTCTTCTTCTTTCGTTCGCCTGAAATAAGTTGTCTTTATCAGCAGTTTTGTCTCTTGTATAAATTTCACTGTCGTTGTTAGTTCATTCAGTGGTCCAAAAAGTTTATGTTTTACTGTTGTTCTTTTTGGCCAAAAGATTTGCCATAATGTTTCAAATTCGGTGCAGTCCTGGAGTACATGCTCTGCTGTCTGGGGCACCTTTCCACAGGTTCACATGGCTGATACGCCTATCTTGAATTTTGTGTACATGTGGTTACCTAATCGGTTGTGCCCTGTTCTGAGGCGGAGAATAATGACTTGTTCTGATCTGTCCAAAATAAAATAGTCGTCTTGTGCTGGGGCTGAAGGTTTTCTGATTGATTTAACTCTTTAAGGCCCAAACAACGGTGTGAGCGTAGTTTGAGAAGTTCCGTTCTGCCCAAACAACGGTGTCATCGTCAATTGTGTATCTCTTACATTTTGCTTCGCACGCGCATTTGTACTAGTTTCTAATGTTTGGAGGTATGAATAACCTATTCATGGAAAGTCACTCTGCCGAAATCCTTTTAGTTTCATTTCTTGGAGTAAACCACACGTGGATAATTTGAGAGAAAAAACATAAAAAAATTTTTTAACGGTTCATTTTCTAATTTTGTTTTTGAGTGCACTGAATACCAATGTTCTAACCTCAAGAACAGGTTGCAGAATGCGTCTTTCTGCGGCCGAAGCTCTGAAATTGTTTCAGTCTGATGTTTTTAATTGTGATAATGATAATAAAAATTTAGATTTTTTGGAAAGTGATTCGGATAGTGAATTTTCACCAGTGAAGCTGAGCGATCGGCTGTTCGGAATCTAGCGATTCTGACGAGTTTATTACACAGACAATGTCCCATACTACCGTATTTATGGTGTAAGAGAAGGAAAAAGCTCTAAACAAAGAGAAAGTACTATACTATGGCTAAGCTACATTGAAATCATCGCAGCTACAGTCTGTAAATAACTGTACAAAGTGAATAGTAAATAGTGTGTGTGTTCTGGCTCATTTTTCTGCCATTTTTTCTCTGAAATTTTGCTTAGCACTCGGTGGCAACTAAGAGCCCCTGAGTGATAAACAAACCAAGAAAGTTATCATAACTTTAGAATATGTTAGGAAATTGAACAAACTTTGAAGTTTTGTTCTCAAATTTGGATATTTACTATTCTTGTGGCTGCAAAACCATGGTAAGGGAAGAATTTGTGTGTGAAATGTTGTCCTTGTGAAATTAACACCTGCTGAATTCTTCTTTTCCACTAACTATAACAAAATCAAACAAACACTTATCATCAGATTCAAAAAGTAGACTCATTTCTCTTTTAAAAAATATATACTTTTATAGGGATTAGAAGGATATTACAATCTCTACAGCCTTTCTTGTGCACCCACCCCTCTGCAATTTTTGTAAAGGGAAATTAATGTGGGCCAAGTCTGTCCAAATTCATGGGCCTGAAAGAGTTAATGATTCTTCTTTTTTTGGTGGTATGTGACTGGTACATCCGGCTGCACTTTTGTCGCACCTTCCCCTGCCAGTTGATCAGCTTTCTCAATTCCAGACACTCCACAGTAAGACGGTATCCACTGCATTACGAACGATAGTTCTAAAAGGGCATCTTTTCATCTTTGCAGGCGATGGGTGGCCGGTTACGTTAGAAATTGCATGTACTTATGCAGTATAGCACACGCTATGTTGGCTTTCGTAACTGACTGCTTGCATCAACATTGAACTGCAATTCTTGTGTGAGACTGTTGATGTTGGCATATTTGACAGCTGCCTGATGCATTTTATTTTGCATAAGCGTGGCTAGTATCCTCTGCAAATCACTCCTTCACCCGATGCCTTTGAATAATAAATAATAATAATAATAATAATAATAATAATAATAATAATAATAATAATATTCCACTTCTTTTATTATACTTCTTTTTTTTTCGTATATCGTCACATAGAGGAGTTATATATAGTGTCCTGTCTTTTGCTAGTTTCATATATTGTGTTAGTATATATTGTGTTTCCGTGGTGTCTCTTTTACGCCATCCATCCATGCCTTTCTTGGTCGGCCTCTTGCCTTGCTGCCTGCTAATAACAGTAACAATATTAATAGAAGTCAAAGCAAAATATAAATAAAAACTATGTTAACGAATTAAGCAAGCTATTATCAAATACCGCGGCGAGTTAGGAAATCCAGGTTCTTTTCTTTTAATTCACCCCGTCTCTGGGACTCCGATATTTCGTGGAGAGTTTCCGGGAAGTCCAAAAGTATAGAAGTGTCAGAGTGTGAAACGAACGCCGACTTACACTAACCCACCCCCTCTGCTCCCATAATATTGGACTTTCCCCACGAAATCGCCGAGTCCCCAAGATGGGGGGATCTGAAAGAAAAGTACCGAAATCCCAGCTCCACGAAATGAATGTGGCTAGTGTGTCAGACAGCTAGAGCAAGTCCGGGGGACTTCCCTTGCAACCACATCCATGTTGCCAGAGTCTGAGCGGCAGGGCGAGATGAAAGGATCCCGGCAGACCAGTGTTTGTCATGGCGACCGTAGGCAGGCGAGGATCGATGGCTGTGTGTGAGTGTCCTGGCTAGGTGAATTATCGGCTTGATGAGAACATCTTGCGGCCCTCGGAAGAAATGAAT